TTTGAGTGCGCAGATACTTCAGGTTATTTAGGAAGAAAATCCATTCAATCGGTTTTGTGGTATTTTTGGATTACCTGTGAGAAATAGCATGTGTATTAGAATTGTCTGAGTATCATCGGTGTGGGTATTCCATGTTGATGATGTTACTAGGATGCCTCCGTTCGCCAGTTCCAGCTATGCGAGGGGGCCTTTGAACACGGGCTGATTGTTAGGAATATCGCAGTGAGGTAGTTTTTCTGAAGTTTCCCTTGTCCAACCTCAATAGTTCAAATCCAGCCTTTACGCCCCCAAAGTGCGTGATGGCTGAATTTGAATTCTTAAGGTGGGACGTGGGTAAGGAATATCTTTGTGAAGTTCCAACCGTGTAGCTTTCGCCACCCCCGAAATCGCTTTCTCGCCAAAAAAATCTATCACGTTCTCGTACGTGAGAACCGCATGGAAGGGTGGGGACCTCTACGCCGATGTAGATTAAGTTGCCAGAGTTTCAGCCTTGTACTTGCAGCTTCTGGAGGCCAAAACAGACGCGCACACAAACATGCACAGAGATTCACACACACACGTGCACCCACACACACATACACACGAACACTTGCACACACATGCAGACAATCCGTTGAAAACATGCGTTTTTGCGCCACACAGTTACAAAAAACGCATTCATTTATCGTTCATTGAAAATCACCTAACAGACCTACACTTTCCGCTTTAGTAGTTTTCCCGCCTAAATTTTCGCTTGTCCGTACATGCCACGGTGCATCGATGCCTCAGTGGCAAGGTAGCCGCCTGTCGCATGGGCGCTCGGGTTCGACTCCTGCCACTGGTCCACACTGCATCGATAGCTTCTTGGCAAAGCATTGGCCTGCCACACTGAAGTCTTGGGTTCCAATCCTGCTACAGGCTCGCATCGCTGGCCTGTTGAGAGGATGCCCGTTTGTCGCGCTGACGTCGCGAGTTCGGACCCTGCCAGTGTTTGCGAATTTTGCATCGATGGCTCAGTGGCAGGGTGCCAGATTACCACGCAGGGCGTAGAGGGTTGGACTCCTGGGGCTGGTCCACGCCGCATAGTTGGCGCAGTGGAAAAGTGACTGCCCACTACACAGGCAACGCAGGTTCGACTCCTGGCTCTGCCATGTAGGTGGAAAGCACCGTCCCGAAGCTTCTGATTTGGGCCGCAGCGCAAAATTTTTAGTGCTCGGCCGGCAATGCACCGTTCGCGTGGGACGATGCTGATGTCTCGGGTTCGAACCCAGCCAGTGTCCGCGCCGTCCCCAGTGGCTTAGTGGCAGTGTGCCTGTTCAGTGCACCGGAGCTCCCAGGTTCCACTTCTGCCACTGGCCCGCAGTGCACAGATGGCGCAGCGGAAAAACTGCCCGTTTACGGCGCTGCCGTCGCGAGTTCGAATCCCAACTGATCCCCTAGCTCTTTTGACTGG